AAATCTGATGAATTTAATAAGTGAAATGAAGTATATCTTCACTAAAGCTCTCCGTGGCCATTTCATTTGTCGCCGAGAATCAAATATATTACACGACATTTGAAAAATGGCAAAAAGGAGGGAAAATTCGAAAGGTTGGGTTGAGATGGGAAGTTAGTGTCCGAGTAGGATCGAAGTGATTGAGCAGCGGCGTATTTAACCGAAGGTCGTGGGTTCGAATCCCGCTCGTGACACTGACTTTTTTATCTCAACCCAATACCTTACATAAAGATTAATTAAGTTATAACATTGCTGGGGATGATGTAATCATCAAAAGCTTGACAATAAAATGTTTTATTATTTTAAGCGAACTATTTTCCTTTTTTCAATATCCCGTAACCAAACTCTATCGGGTTACAAAGTAGAATGAGCGATTAAAGTTAAAAAAAAAATAGTTTTCTCAATGGTTTAATTAAATGTTTTGTTTGGGAAAAAAGCTTACTTTATAACTTTTTATAAACCAAAAAAATTATATAGAACTTTTTTGGTATGAAACTAAACAAACAGCGTATTTTAGCAATTGTATATAAAACAACAGAGAAAGAGAAATGTGAATTTAAGAAAACCACTGTTCCTTTTTCAAGATTGGCAGGATGGAATTTGAAACTATTTCTAATAATGTACACTTTCAGCAAATATAAACATCAGTACATTACAATGTTAGATATTATCATTTCAACTATAATGAATTTATTAGTTTAGCTTAGTAGAGAGGCCTAGATCTCCACTCGTCCTTTTTACATTACAGTTATTTTGTTAAATTTATAAAACTTCCTTTTTGTTGAATAGGATTTCCCCATCTCTCAGCGTAGTCGTTTTGTTTGCCTCATGGCTGACGTCCTCAGTATTTTTTGTATTCTTTAGTTTTATTTATCTTTTTTGATTTGATTATTTTTCTTATCTTTTTTGATGTGGTTATGGTTTTTTGGCTAGTTTATGCCACAAAATGGATTTGGGCCTCTGCGATGTACCGAGACACTCTTTTTAGCTAGGGTTTCTGCTCCCTGCCTGAAATTCCCTCATGACTTGGGACACAACTACATCCCAGTTTTCGGATTTATTTATATCCAGACAAGTTTAGAGTTGATGTTAGGCTCGGACTGTCTATTTGACTGGATTATTAATGTAAACCCTTGAGATGTTTGTCACTTATCTCATGTGTTCATGTTTCTATGGATTGAAAGGTGGTTGCGGTGGGGCACCATTTTTTCCCATTTACTTTTCTTTTTATTGATAGTGTAGAATGGTTTTTCAAATTCTAGTATTTTATCTGGTAAGAGATAGTTTTAGCCATGTCAGTTATTATAACCTTTGAGATCTTATAAACACGATAATAGATTTGTGCAACGAAGTAATTAAGGTAAAATAACTGAAGATATGTAGAAGGTTTTTCAAATTCTAGTGTTTTCTCTGATAAGAGATAGTTTTAGGCATGTGTTATTACAACTTTTGAGACCTTATAAACATGATATTTGATTTGTGCAACAAAGTAATTAATGTAAAATAACTGAGGAAGAAAACAACACATTGGGAAGCAGCCAAAAGTTCGGCAAGACCGAAAAGCCAGGGATTAGACCTATAATAAGAAATTGCATGTATTAAGAATTTCAAAGAAAGTAGAAGGTACTAATATATTTATCTCAGAGAATAATTATGATAAGAAAAATAAATTAGGTAAATCCGCAAAATTCTATACTCCAAAGGGGTCGAAGAAACATAACTCTTTTTGAATACAGACAAATGATCCGAAACCTAGACAAATAGTACTGGAAAGTTCTCCTGACGAGAGTAAAAAGAAAAGGAAGCCGGTGGAAACAGCAATCGACAGCACCAATACAGAGGACTTTCGTGTCGCGGAGTAAAATCACAACTCACCCTTCCCGACAAGGCTCAGAACCCTCACCATTCTAACGATCCAACAACAAACCAGATGAAGATAGCGGAAACAGTTAAGAGTATCGCTTACAATATTACAGAACTAGATGGCACACAAAGTAATGTTAAGTTCCGAAATATTCTTGAAAAATCTGATATACTTGTTCTACTTGAAACTTTGTTAATACACGAATTTAATTACGATTAACCTTTCATCACACCTGTCAAGCTTAGTAATATGTGCAATTTACAATTTTTACAATAGAACAATTTAGTTTTAGTTTTAGTAGTAACAATTTTATTTGCAGGAGTGAATATGTTATAAAGGTATACATTCCCCTGCTGCTATAGGTTTTGCACATTTTGTAGTAGTTCTTTGCTTTTATTCGTTATATGTTGGCCTACATATGCAATTTGCATATGTGATCATGGGTCAACAATCGTAAGTATGACCATAGAGACTTTGGAATATCCATTGTGCCTTTTATGTGTTCCACTTCAACCTTTGGACAAGTGCTATTAGATACTAAATTCGACTCCATTTTCCTAGAGAATGGCACTATTATTACCTTTGAAAGGTTAATGGGGCATATATTAAAACCCTTCTCCAGCCTCCATTTCAATTTTATGTTCGAGGTTTTTTCCAATAACACAATAATATATGCATCCTAAAGGTTACAATTACTTGTAGTAAAGTTATGCTGTAAGGAGGAGGTGGAAAATGTATGCAATTACATAATTATTTTAATACGTTTTAGTAACAGTCTGTATTATAATTTTAAAACGTAAGTTCCAATTATCACGTTGTTCAGGTCAATCTGTTTCCCGCCAATCTTTGAAAAAAATTTCAAGCCCTTTTATTAGGAGATTTCAATGTTTGTTTATTGTTTCGAACTGTTTTTTCGACTTTCGGGGAGTGGAAGTTTTTGGAGTGAACCCGAACCCAACTCCACCAGAGTTAAATCCTGTCAATAGAGTCCAAATTAATATGCCGAACCACGCCTTAAGCGATAAAATGCAAACGAGTTGCAACAACTGTTTGAGCCCAGACCTCTAGGCTTGCACTCCGTATAAATTAAAAGTTGGTCCTCACGATTCTCTTCTTCACTTTCCACATCAATTGTAATATTTAAATTTTCACGGGTGCGTGCTAACGGGCTCGTCGCGTAAAAGATGACCCCTTTGGCAGACGCCTTTGCTTTTAAAGATGACTCAAGAACGAAAAATTCACTCGATTCAGTTTTTGACAATTATTTGAAAACAAAAATGAGGTAGAAAATAGGGCATATTTTATTGTAGGCTTCTTCATCGTTTCTTTCAAAGATAACTTTGTAGTTGTCATTTTATTAATGTTAAATATTTAACGAATGTGATATGTTTTGTCGGAGTAAATTCTAAACTAGGCTTGGAAGGGAAATATTTTCAATTAATACAATTGAAATCCAATTGTTTGTAGGTAAAAAATCTCTCTCCTCCCCAACAATCTCTCAATTTGCTAAGCTTTAAGGACGCGAATAGCATTTCGATTTGAAAGGGTCTCACAACATCGTCTGTCACTCGAAGACTTGAAAGTCTTAGTCCTCACTTTCCGTCCTCTTTTTATCAGTTGTCTACCAATTTAATTTAGCAATCAGACGTGCGTTTTCGACGTCTTATTTAAAAATGGAGGAAATATATATTTTTTTATACGAATATAAAAGCCTAATATCTTGCCAACTTTACACTTTTTTTACCAGAAATTTTTTGAACCGACACTCGGCTTACTGGGCCTACGGCCGCGGGTTTTTCTTGTTTTTCAAATGCGTTCTGCCATCGTCAGTGAGAAGATTGATCCTTTGCCATGCCGGCCCGCCACGTGTTCACCGATTCGCAACACCCACCATCAACTTTCACAATTTTTTGTTGGGTTTATATTTAATAACTTAAAGGTAATTATTATATTATAAATTTAAACTGTTTATAATTTTTTTAAATACCGTACGTCCCTATAAAACTAAATTAAACAGGAAATTTATTGTAATACTGCAAAACCTCTTGCTAAGGGCCAGACACAGTGTCGTACTCCTTTACTTTGAACTCCTTCGAAATGAGTTCTCTCAAGAGAGATAACACATAACTGTCTNTCTTTCTTTTAAAGTCAATCTTTCGTGTGTCGGAAGCATGTTAGCATTAACAAATTTGAACTTAAACGAAAATCATGAATGAAAACATATAAAGACAATAGGATTGGATGAATGGGAGAAGAAGTTAACAAAATCACAGAAATATCGTCAGAGATCGTTTATGATACCTATTTTTTTTAACTTTTCTTATTTAATTTTACTTATTTGGCTTCTGGGGGCAAACCTCATACTAACTGTCAGGCTCATCTTATTCATATATAAAAAAAGAGAAATAATAGGCATTTCATACAAATGTGATCAGAGGATCAAACTAATCGCCTACATTTCCAAATAGTATAAATTAATATTAAACAATATATGCAAGCCTAATAAATTAATTGCAACAATACACTACTGTTTCTGAACAAATACATAAATGTGGTACTCACTAAATATTAATGAACCGTATGTAATTTGTAGATAAGAGTGGGATATTAAAGTGAATTAGATTTTATTATTTTACTTACCTAAGAAAAATGAAAAACTAATCTGGCCAGTCCTCTACTCAGAGTTTTGTGTGGTGTTAAAGATTGTAGGACAACACGACAGTGTCCTTGTCCTTTATTATAGTGTTTCCTATGTAGACGTGTTAAATACATATAAAATTAATGTTCATGCTTGTCCATCTGTAGCTGTTTTGTAAACGGAGGTGTCCCCTAAATGAAATCTCATCGGAGGTTACACTGTACCAGATAAATATTCAACTTGTCAAGATATGCAAATTGCGTAGCAATAAGAATATTGTGTAAGTTTTTGGTGTGTTACTTTTCTGAATCTAAAGGGTGGCATTAATTAAAATCTTATTTTATTGCTAAGCAAGAAGGGTACAAATATTACTTGTTGAACATTTAATGTATTTAATCAACCTTGATGGATGCATGGAAATATATATATTATCTGACCTTTACTTATTTTTGTTTTCAGGGCAAAAATGAGGGCCAAGCCTTTAAATACGTGCCTCGTTTGTTTATGCTGCTTCATTTATTCATCCGCTCTGCCCAGAAGCAAAGATTATAGAGATATGAGCTCGGAATACGTGCCAGGCGGTGACACTAGCATCCAATCGGATCCTCTTTCAAAAGAGCCAACATGCGAGGAATTGAGAGCCATGTGGAGATTTTCTAAGAGGCAATCAAGAGCGGCAGAAATTACGAACGAGATCCCGACATTCCGAGATCCGTTTGCATTCAATGTGTGGGAGGAATACGCAAGGCCGAGGAGCGCCGGACGAGGAGTCAGGTATAGGAAGCCTTTGATCTACGGAAAAGTCGTCCACCACCCCCAGTACATCCCCCATCCACCTGATAGGCTGAAAGCTTTCGAGGAGGTGGCACGACTTTTCGGCTCTCCCATTAATCCGGAAGTCTCGAGAAGAAAAACATCCTTCAGGCTCGGAGGAGGAGGAGGTCTTCAAAGCCACGTACCGATTCAGACCACCCAGTCGGGGAGTTTCCAACACCTCAAGGAGTTGATAAGGAACGAAAGGTTGAGAGAACTACAGGAACAGAGGATAAACGAGGACGCAGATCGTAACGTGGGCAAAATTCACTATGGGCGGATAACTGAATCTTCACCAAGAGTCGTGGAAAACGCGCTTATTCAAGACAAGGCGACCGGACTGGTACCGAGCAAGGGCATTGTGGCTTTTCCGAACATGTTGGGACCTGCATCATACTCTTACATAGACGAATATCCAATGCAACAACTTGAAATTCCAAAAGTTAAGCAGCGGTATCCAGACACTTCGGTAAGTACCGATCCCTTATATACAATATAACAATTGCTTATTACGCATACCATACCACTACCAATATCTATTTAATAGCTTGATTTTTGTTCATTTATAGATTGAAGCATTTGCTTTAATAAAGCAAGAATTAAAAAAAAAATCGTATTCTTATTTAACATGGCAGGGAAAATCCTTTAAAATTATTGATATTAGGGCTGAGGCGCAACATACAGCTTGTAATAAATTTATTTCTGTACCAAAATTGAATATTGTGGAAATGATGGTGCGTGGTTTTATCAAAATTACCAATTATTTTTATAAAGGTATAAATTTGAGTCGTTTCAAGTTTTATTATTATGATCCACCCGTTTCTTCGTGCATGTTATTTCAGTACCTCGACCAGTTTAGTTTATTATAATGGTTTTTCCCTATCATACGACGACATGCATAAATTTACTTAAATTGTATAATTTTTTAAAAGTAAAATTAATTTACCTATAGTTGTATAAAAAACGAAGTTACACTTCTTGTAAAACAGTAAATTACACTGAATTTGCACCCTGCACCAAAGGTAATTCTTTTCACCTAGTTGTACTTAATTCTCGTTAAATACCATGACGGTACAATTCCCCTTGAATTGATATTATTTTACATCGCCGCGAGGATGAATTTTTGCTGTGAACTTTCAACATCACGGTCGGAATAAAATAAACTCAATTTGCCGAAGCCGAACAAACAAACGCAAGTGGAAATCAATTCTATTTTTAGAGAGTCTGTAAATAGCGTCAATCTCGTTGAAATGTGCGGATTAATCCTCATTAACATCTTCTTTCAAGATGCAAATAACATACACCAGCGATTGTTGTTTCCAACAGTTGGAAGAGTTCGGTAAAGCCCGGATTTAAACCAACATCCCATCGACTGACAAATAACGAATTTCGTTAAACATCATGGCCACTGAACGGGTTGATTGTCTGTCAGTTTCAATCATTTCCAGACTTGCAGACTTTACGCTCGGCCGTGCTCGATTCATGTCGAAAATATAATCGAACAATTAATAAGTGAATTTTCTCCACATTGTATTATTTGTTTTAAACCGATTTGTAACCCGATTTTAAACCGATCATAATTGCGATAATATGTTGAACTCATAAAAATCAGGAAATTGCCGAAGTTCAGCCTTGAGATTTCTTTATTATTTATTACCAAAAAATATTGGCCATTGCCCCGGTTCCCGTTTCACGCCAGCTACGAGCTAGAATAATGGTTTATTAAATTATTATAAAAAATTCCCATTCAGGTTTAATTCTAAATTTTGGCCATTTATCTGACTATTTCTTGTTCAAGTACAAAGCTCGATCGGAATATTCTGCCACTGGAGTTGAACCCGCGGTGCCCGAGTGGTTAGAACGTCCGACTCGTATTTGCCATGCTAGCGGGCCTGGATTCGAATCCTGGCATATCCCATGTTTTTAATTTAGAATAATATGAAAAAAAGGCTTTTAAAGTGGTTTAACATTTAAACTCTTCCAACCTTCTCCCATATCATTAGTTTGGTTTTCGCCTTCACCATTCCACAGTCCCGTAAGTGTTTCGGGTTGTAGACCGTATATCCTCCTCCTTCGAGCGCAAAGAATTATTGTATGAGACCCTGATGTAACACAAGCGTTTGACCGTGTGTGGCACAAGGGACTCCTGTACAAATTAAAACGTTTCCTACTGAATACCCTCCGCTTTTATCTAACAGAGCGGTTCTTTTGGTCCGACAAGGATCAGATTACTCCCAATACTCTCCTTTGGCCACGGGAGTAACGCAGGGTAATGTACTGGGACCAACTCTCTATATCCTTTATACTGCAGATGTTCCCACTAAACCTTCCACCCTCTTTACATCTTTTGCCGATGAGACACCTGCACTATTCTCTCACCCACGATCCTGCACTTGCTTCGGAAGATCTGCAGGGACAGGTCACATTTATTCCAGTGTACACAATGGAAAATGAAGATAAATGAAAGCAAGTTCCTTCATGTCACATTTACACTCCGAAGCTCACAATATACTACAACGATCTTACCCCCAAATCCGACTGTGTTCGTTGCCTTGGGTACTAGACAGACTCATGCTTAACGTAGAATCGGAATATAAGACTGAAAGGACAAGACTTAAACAGACGCTACGGTTTACTCGACAAATTTACAGGACGACAATCCAAGCTATCGACGAAAAACAAACTTACAATTTACAAAACGCTACTATACCGATTTGGACATACGGTATAGGACTGTGAAGCACCACTAATCCTTCCAATATCTAATGTCTTCAATCCTTTCAGTGTAAAGTCCTCAGATCAATTATAAATACACCGTATTATATCTCCAATACTACCTCTACAATGACCTTAAAATCCTATTTATCCAAAACATAATACCTCAAAAATTTCCACGTTCTATAATAATCTCTCTCAACAGAACCTATCCGTACAATCCCATAAGGCGTCTCACGAAGAAATGGCCCCGCGACCGCCTTTCTGAGTAGTAGGAAGTGAAGTTTATTTTAGTGATGTTCAGTGGGAAAATTATATTTATTATTTGCTCCCCACATTGAAAATATGTAAACAGCTGTAAATATGTGCTATGTTCATCAGATTACATATTGTAACTAAGAATATTGTAACTAACTGTAATAAAATATTGAAATGAAGTAGTTTGACCACTCGTCCACAACACGCTATGAGTTAGACGTTAAAACCTCTCGTATGATAGGAATTATAGTTTTTATGGTTTGCATAAAAAATTTTTCTCTCAAATAATGTTTAGTTGTATGAATGTTTTTTGCCATGTCACCACATAAATGGCAACTTACAGGATCTGTCTACACTCGCGGATTTCGATGTCTCTCAAATATCTTTCGGCTTTCAGGCATCTGAATGGAACTGTAAAGGGTGTGAAATGCCGAACGCATATCACAGGCCTATCCAAGCTCAGGGGACCGTGGTGGTCGAGTGATATGGCTTCCGGACTCGATTTTGTCACGCTAGCGGTTCCGAGTTCAAATCCCTGCAGAGCGTATAGCTTTTTAATTAATTACAGTATGAAAATATATCGTCAAGTGGTTTGACCATAAATGTGCGAAACTCAACGTGTAGTTTGAACGTTAACCCCTGCTGTATGTCAAATTACTGTTTACTTTACTTTTTACCAACCCAATGAGGATAGACAGACTAAGTTGATGGCTAAGTATCAAAAAACTTTGTTTTGTTCCCTTGGGGCCATTAGGCAATTTAGGCACTCGTAGGCTAATTTGGAACTAAAAGAATACACTTGTATAGATGGATGATAGTTCGAAAGTCTGTAGATCTAAATCTCGAATAAATTCTTTATCTCCTGTACACCGAATTTGATTGCATGGACCATAGCTTAGAATATAGTCGGAAACGGTCTAAGCGGCTTTACTAAAGTATAATACTGCCCGTTTATCCCTACACCTACTCTCTATGTTTGATCCACCATTATACCAAAATGCTAATTCTACCAATTCCTAAAACTTGGAGTTGCCTTTCTTCCAAAGATCTCTGTCTTCTATGCCTGTATTACAAGTAAGGTCGTTATACGCCTGTTACGTCTGGGCTCTCCATAGCACTAATATTTTAGAATAGATCCGTGTATTTAAAGCTACCCCGGGCCTGCTTGGAACTCAATCTATTACTATTATTACTACTTTTTATGGCTGAAGTTTCACAGACGGCCTCAGCGTGCTGAATACGTTAAAGATCAACACAATTTGATCCTAATTATAAGGCAAAGGCAGTGCAAATTTTATAAGGGTGAAGGGTCATAGTGGCTATACGTACAATTATTGGGTTGATCTGCTGGCTAAATGGAGTGACCTCCACGCGCTCTGACCATGAAGAGAACAATCACTGTTGCAGACGTTATTTGTCAGAAAGAGCACAGTTCCACAAAGCCCAAGGGAAAAGTGTACGAGTTTCGTTAGAATGATTTGTCTTTCTAACTGTCGGACAGATTTGTATGAAGATCCGCCTTGTACACAACGTTCAAAGAGTAAATGCGGCATTATAAAAGGGTTATTATCGCGTGTCCAAGTTTTTATCCTGGCACGGCAAACTGAAATTTTTGAAATGAAGCACGATCGAACCTGCTGCAATAATATTTCCATAAATTCTGTTCAAGAGATAGTGATCTTTTCCCAGGGAGATTTCCACTTATGATAAGCTTGTGTGTTTCGTACTTGAAACCTCTCATAACATAACTTAAGTAGCGCAGCTTTTGCTCTCTCTCTCTCTCTCTCTCTCTCTCTCTCTCTCTCTCTCTCTCTCTCATCCTCTTTATGGAATTAAGGTACTCTCCAGCATATAATGGTTAAGTGATTTGGTTGGCATGACCGGTGCTGAATCGTATTGCACAGAATCCATTTTTCTTCGCCAATAGAGGAAAATGATAAGAAAATAATTTGAGCTTTGAAATTTTTTTATCGCTCAAAATGTCTGAAATCTCACTAGATTTATTTTTTTTAAATGTGCCTAAGGTTTAAAAAAATATGATAGATCAATACAGTCATGTATGATCGTCACGAAGGCCAAACCATTCTCCATTTATTATATGTATAAAAAAAATTAGCCCTTAAATTTATATGTGGCCTTACTTGCATGTAAAAAAGTCCCAAAGTGTTGTGTTTGGATCCAGTTCTCTCTAGAATCCTTTCTTTACCATTAAAAATTTTTTCCTTCTGCCTCCCCACCAAGAACCTTGGGATTATACTTGACTAGGCCTTGTCCTGGAAGCCCCACATCTCCTACATTTTCTTTCATTCTTAATTTATCATTTATCGTTATCTGTATGAATAAAATGATTCAAATTTATATATGGCGTGAATGTAGAAAATCCCAGGCTGTTGTGTTTGGATCCACTTCTCTTCTAGAATCCGTTTTTTACCATTAACACTTATTTCCTTCTGTCTCACCATGGTTTTACCCTTGATCAGACGCTGTTTTCGAAGCCTATACCATCCAGATTTAGTTATTTCCTACTCTTACGGTTACGTTGTAAATTCAA